GTCGGGTTATCTAGTAATATATAATATATATAGTAATATAGTAATGATATATAGTAAATTAATAGTAATATATAATGTAAATTAATAGTAATATATAATGTATAAATTAAAATTCTTAGAGATTTAAAGATAAATAACATAAAGGTTTTTAGATAATAAGATAACAATAACATAACAATAGTGGAAGTTCCATCACCTTGAAGAAGTCACTACTTAAAGACAATAGAACTGTCTTTGAATGAATGAAAATGTAACTGAAGTTTTTTTTTTATTAAATCAGGTGTACACATAGGTTAAAATTTTGTAATGCCGAAAATTAGTTCGAAAAAATGTAAACAAGACAACGTGAATGACAATAAAAACAGTTTTTTAAATTTTGCTGATTTCTGCTAAAAGTATTTTGTACAAAATTACCGATATTGCAATTATATTGAGTAAATTTGTCAAAAAGTGAGAAATAATTTTGAAAAATTTACTAAAATATTATAATGAGAAGCTCAATTTAAAAAATAAACTCTTCAACAGACCAGTTCGGTTTCGGTGTTACTTGCAGACTGTATCAGTTTTCCCATTCAGAAATATTGATAAAAATGTTGACGCTTGACACGATGGCCACATTGTGGCGATTATTTGCTACTGTAGCACCAAGTGCTGTGTTTCTGGTTATGTTACATGAAGGAGTATTACAATACAGACCCGATATAGTCGATCGTCCAAATCGTGTACGTCCAACAAGAATTGAACATTTGCGAAAAACATATGATTTCATTATAGTTGGTGGTGGTTCAGCGGGTTGTGTACTGGCTAACAGACTTTCCGAAGTAGCAGAGTGGAATATTTTACTATTGGAAGCTGGTGGTGATGAACCCTTTCTTGGTGAGTTACCACAAATGTATCCAGTTTATCAACATAGTCCATGGGACTGGCAATATAGAACTGAACCGTCAGAACGTTACTGTTTAGCACATCAGTATGAACGATGCTTTTGGCCGCGTGGTAAAGTATTGGGCGGTTGTAGTGCTATAAATGCTATGATGTATATTCGCGGTAATAAACGTGATTATGACAATTGGGCTGATTCGGGTAATGTTGGTTGGAGTTATGATGAAATTTTTAAATATTTTCTTAAGTTGGAAGATATGCGAGTGCCAGGTTTTGAAAATGATGAGTTTCATAATCGTGGCGGTCCGCTTACTATAGAGAACTATAGATTTCCATCACCATTATTGGACGTCTTTTTACTATCAGCTAAGGAACTAAATCTGGTAAGTTTGTGTCTATAAAATATTTAAATGCAAGAAATAATATTTTTAATGTAAATTTTAACAAATTAGTTAAATCCTTTTGATGATTTCAATGGACGTAGTCAGACTGGTTTTGCAGTGCCTCATGCCACTTTGCGCGATGGTCTACGTTGTAGTGCCAATAAAGCCTATTTGCGCCCTGTGTGGCGACGCCCCAATTTGGATATTTTGCTTAGGGCATTTGTTAATAAAATTATAATAAATCCGCATACAAGACAAGCGAAAGGGGTTGTGTTTGAACGTTATGGCTTACGGTATGTTGTACATGCTACACATGAAGTAATACTTTCTGCTGGTAGTATTGCTAGTCCACAATTGTTAATGCTATCAGGTGTAGGACCGGCAGAACAACTCGAAGCACATGACATTAATGTAATACGTAATGCACCTGGCGTTGGTATTAATCTGCAAGATCATGTTTCATGTTCTGGTGCTACTTACACGATAGACAATCATGTCACTGGACACAGACTGTCCTTTATAGTTCCAGAAATGTTGACAGTTAAGTCTGTGGAAAATTTCTTATTCAAATCTACTGGCTTCTTTTATGCAATGGCTGTTTGTGAAGTGATGGGTTTTATAAATACTAAATATCAAGATCCGCAAGTGGATTGGCCAGATGTGCAAGTATTTATGGGCAGTTATGGTTACGGAGTAGATGGCGGATTGGTTGGACGGCGCGGTGCTTCCGTTTCACTAGAAAACTTTGTCGACGCATTTGAACCTATAGTATATAAGGATACATTCGTTATTGCGCCACTGCTAATGCGCCCAAAAAGTAGAGGTAGAATTGAATTACAATCTAGAGATGCAAAAGATCATCCGAAAATTTTTCCGAATTATTTTGATCACCCAATTGATATGGCTGTAATGGTAAGTGCTAATTTAATAAAAATCTGTTTCAAGTAGTCAGTTTTTTTATTTCTTAGGTAGAAGGTCTTAAATTCTCACACAAAATAGCACAAACTGCAATTATGTTGCACATTAATGCTACCTTAAATATTTACGAATGGCGTAATTGTCCAGATACGGAGTACTTGAGTGATGCATTTTGGGAATGTATAGCACGTGTTTACACACAAACAATATATCACCCAGTAGGCACCTGTAAAATGGGTGTTCCAACCGATCCCTTTGCAGTAGTTGATCCAAGATTACGTGTTTACGGTATAAGAGGACTACGTGTTATCGATGCAAGTATAATGCCGACTATCCCTACGGGAAATACTAATGCACCTACTTTGATGATTGCTGAAAAGGCTGCTGACATGATTAAGGAGGATTGGCTTTAATTGGCTTGGTTTCATTACTAGCAACGTTTTAAATTGCAATTTCATAGTATAAATAATGATTTTTATTTTATTGCTTATATACATTACATATAGAAATATGCTAGATATACTGTATCAATTTTAAGCTTAAAAGTAACTAATATGTACAAATTAGGTCACGATAATATTAAATTAATATTTGAAATATGCAAATTATTAGAATGCTTTTATATATTTTTTATGGTGTTTATATAAATTCATATATAGACGACAAAATAAATTAGATGAAATTAATATAAATATCTGAATTGCGTTTATTGCAAAACAAATTGAATAGTTAACGATATTTGTTATATTAAATTTTTTAATTTTAAAATAAAGAATTTTGTTTTATACAAAAATATATAAGGATTTACCTCAAAAATAATGTTTAAATTAAGTATTGGTTTTTTATAGTAATTTGGTTATATCAATTCTTGAATAGTTGAACAAAGCATATAAAACTTATCAAACTATAATTGAACTTGAAAAAGTCATTGGGATTCCTCTCCACATGAGTCAAAGAAATTTCAATTATAACTGATATTATTATTATTATTGTCTCATAAGTTGACATATTTACAGTATTATATATACATTACGTTCAATGCTCAATGTACAAACTGAGATAGAGGTTGAAAAAGGAACCATTGAATTTCTTTCATCTTTTTGATTTTGAAAGGTATATTTATTGTCAGAGAAGTAGGGTGAGAGTAAAAACAATATGTCGGTTCAAATTCGGTCAAGAGAGCCAGTTTGACGAGCGCAAGACACTCTACATAACATAGCCCTATGTTTCTTCTTCTTAAATAACTTGAGTTGCTAAGTGCAAATTACTTACACTTTCAAGGGAAAAGCTTTCGGTACTCAAAGTTTTTGAACACCAATAATGTAAACTTCGAATATTTAAATTTAATATACATATATACAATCCTATTAATGTTGTACTTAAATTGAACTTAATTATTAATTTTCTTATTAGTTTATTATTTATATGTACATTATTAGTGAATAATATTATTAGCTTAAATATATATAAAAATTAAAATAAATGTCATTTTTCTTTTGTTTTACGTTGATGTAAAAATTTTATGTGTTAACCACACAATGGAATAAATGAATAGGGAAGTAATCAACTAGTAAGAGAATAACAGATATAGCGATTAGCTCTCTCAAGGTTGATTCGCAATGGATTAAGAGTGTCTAAATAATCCGCTTAAATTTCTGTTTTTTTCATACACAATCAGTGTTTTTCTCAGACTTTTCTTTTATTAAATTATAAAACATGATCGATGCATTTCTTAAGCTTTTATTCCATTAAAATAAATAAAAGTAATATGTAGTATTCACTTCTAGTATTAATGATTTTATTGTAGGAACCAAATCACTCTAAATATTTTGAAAAATTTTAGAATTTTTAAAGATACATTGAAGTTTACAGAAGTTACATTTATTTTTAATGTCTGCTTAAGTGTTAAATAATAAAGAAATTAGTTTGCTTATAAGCCTTGATTTAAAGAATAAGCGCATAATTATTATAATTAATTCAAAATTCATTTATTAATCATATAATTTACTAAAAAAGCGCTTATATACTGATACCTCTCAATCTGATAATGTAATGTCTAGAAATGGACTGAAAATGACAAACGCCAACGACATATGATGGAAAATCCAAACCATTCATAAAGCAGCAAAGATCTAATCAAAATCACTAACTTTAACTAGACAGGTTAACTTTTTTCATTTATTTTAATAAATTATCATTGGCAATGATTCATATTTTAGATATGTTAAGTACAATCATACAACAGTGTTTAAATCTGTATAGGACTTTTATAACTCAGCTATTTATTACATAGTTAAGATATAATAATCCTATTTAATCGAATATTAAATCCCAGATTTACCAATCGAATATTACCAATCGAAATAACTAAAACTGCATTAAAAGAGCATCTTGATTGAAAAAATTGTCCTAGATTTACCAATCGAAAAACCATACATTTAAATCTCTATGGTTCTCTCTGTTTTTTTCTTTCTTTGATATATAAGTTTTGAAGACATACATTATCTTCTATTTTATAGAACATAGTTTTTTCGATTTGAACTTCGCTTCCTCTATTTTCTTCCATCAACTCCTTAGGAGGGTAATATCTTAAGATCGTACGCTTTAAAGAGAACACATATTAAAATTCGAACTGTTACTTACTCTACCACATTTTAGAGTATTTTACCAGAACTTATTTGAAATAACAATTTTCTATAGTTTAACTGCAACACTATTATTATTAGTATCAATATTATTTTAAAACTCAATAAAATAGATTTTATTACACATTATTTTAATTTTTATTATTGAACTAAAAATTCTACTAATCTCAAAACATGAATTATATATATATAATTTATCGTCTCAAGCCACTATTCATGGTCATTCTGATAAAATGTATTGGCGCTGGTAACTCCATTCTACCAGCAGCAGCTGCAAAGCTAGTAATTTGTGGTACTACGGAATTCACATTTGCATCTGTAAAGAACAAAATATAGCACGCAACTGGGTCAAGTACGTCCACAACACTACTGAAATCACATGTTTACCTGTTTGAGAAGTTACCGTACCGACGGTAATTGTCGACGCTTCCGTGGTTGGCTGTGTGACTCTGATTGCTGGAATCTCTGTCAATTCATTAGGATTAAGTAAACTTAAGGCGCCATTTAGATCACGATTTGGTTGCGAAAAAAAATATTCCAAACTATTTCTAATGTTGGTCAGAGTTTCCTGTATTGGGATTTGTGCTTCCGCATTGGGCAGTTCACTCGCAGTCACCAACAAGAAGGCGACTAAAATACCGTTGAACGCGATCGAAATTTTACGCGACATTCTTGCTGCACGTTTCAAATTATACTGCACTTTGCAATGCAAAAAATTTGTTAATTT